TCTGCGTTTCTCGGCATACTTTTTAGAATCTTTAAGCAATCAATATGATATAACTTTGTTACGATACATTAACACAAGTAAGAACTATTTATAAAAATATTCTCTCTCTTCGTCTCTCTCTCTCTCTCTCTCTCTCTCTCTCTCTCTCTCTCTCTCTCTCTCTCTCTCTCTCGCTCTTCCTCTCTCTCTCTCTCCTTCTCTCTCTCTCTCTCTCTCTCTCTCTCACACTTCCCCCCTCCCCACCCCACACACACACCATAAGGCAGTCGCTTTTTATGGCTTGCTAACAGTACCGAACTTTGCACATCAGCCAGTCATTTAGTCTACTCCATGTCTTCAGCTGTTCTGTTGCTTATCTTCCCCCTGATAATATGCAAGAACATCATCTGTAAATGTTAATATCCTATCAAACTTGGAGCTTCTATTTCTTCATTCTTGTCTGTATATACAGTAAAGAGCACTGGTGAAATTGCAGAAATCTGACACATTTTACCACAAAACTTTCTTGACCGGTAACTGCCCGCACTGCTCGACAGGAACCCTTTCCTTTCCCCCAAAAATGTTTGCTGTTCAATTGCAACAACCTGCACTTTGCAAAATCTATTTTGTAAGATGATAATTCTGAAGCCACTAAGTCTTTAATGAAATGTGTAATTGGTTACATCACACACAAAAACATAACTTTTTATAGATGTTATCTCGTTTAATTATCTTTAATAGCCAGGGATTTCATTATTTTAAAATGCTTAATAATAAAATAAACTCAATTGATTTTTAACGCTTTCATTTTGCTCCGAAATGAATGTTTTCCTTTTAATGCACACATTTTTTCTAATGAGGTCAATGTTGTTTACTTCTTCTGTATTTTCTGGTTCTGTTATTCATTTTTTTTTTTTTTTTTTTTTTTTTAATTTAATTAATTTTAACAATTAAAAATGATTCACACACACACACACACACACACACACACACACACACACCAAAAAAACCAGCAATAATGAATAGCTTAAATATTAAGTACACCTGAAAGGGTCTCTAGCTAATGACACATTCAGAGACATGTCCAAGTTCAGCAGCAGTCAAACAAAAGTTATTCACAGCAAAAACAATAGGAAGCTTTCAATACTGAAAAGGTCAGAGATTTTGAGTTCAAATAATTTTGGAAAAAAACCGTTGAAGGAGGCTGAAATAGAAATTCTTTTCTGTTCAGGTTTTATTCTGTGGATGGAATTCTTTTATTTTTCTGTTGGAAACAAAATTTAACATAATTACATGCCCGGCTCTCTAGCGTAGTTGGCTAAACCGGATTGCGCGGAGACCGGGTGACGAACTCCTTGTAGTCCGGGTTCAATCCCAGGGGTAGGCAGAAAAGCCACATTTTCTCCCAGATTTACGGTATTTTCAATGGAGTCTAGGCCGAAAGGTTGCGATATCCATAATACCGAGCCTAAGGGTTAACAACTCATGGCTTCTGGATACTAAAACAAACAAACAAACAACATAATTAGATACAGTTTCTACAGTGAAAGTTGACTACTGTGTGCTTTTACCATTATCGGCCTCTTGCCCTAATTTTAACACTATTTCGAGCAGCCATTCGTCCAGTGTTTGATGTTATCCTTCCATTTTTACCACTGGCTGCGAGGCTGCGTGGTCTCGAGGCGTGGTGTCGGCCTCGAGTGCTAGAGGTTCTGGCTTCTGGATTTTTTTACGTTGACTTGGACTTCTAGTAATTTTACCAGGTCTCTGGGTAGTGAGATCATACGCTCGTGTGTATCGTTGCGCACGCAAAAATCCCTCGGTCGTTGGAAATCGAAAAGAGTAGCCTGACGGCGCTGCCTGGGCAAAATTTTGGAGTTAAAAAATTTACCCAAAGTATTCCAGGATCCTTGCCGGCGCACTGTGTTGAGATTTTTTTTACGGACTCAGTCTTGAATTAGAAAAAAAAAGGAGCATTTATTGATGTGTCGTAATGTTGATTCGTTGTTCAAACCTCAAACCTCAATCCTTGTACCGCTGGCTACTGCTCTACGATCAGAGTTTACTACCAGGGTAGTTGTAATATTGTCATAAAGTTTCACAAACTAATTTTTGGCGCTGCTCTGATACTGCTGTGACAATAATGTAACCAGCAACTCGATTGTCACAGTATTTTGGTAAGAGCGAATGCTGTCCCTCTCATAATATATTATATACATGTATATTGTGATAATGACAGCATCTCTCGTATTATAATAGCCTCCTTACCTAGTCGCCTTGTACGACTTGCTTGTTATACGGGGGGGGGGGGGGGGGGGGGGGGGGGGGGGGGGGGGGGGGGGGGGGGTGGTGAGTTGGGTTTTTCCCTACTTCGTCGAGTTAACTATGCAGACTTATTGTTGCATATGTCCATACAATTTAACAGCTAATACACACACACACACACACACACACACACACTCACCCACACACCACACACACACACACACACATAAATGCATTTGATAACAACTGTTAAAATTGAACAAAGCAAACACAAGTCGCGATAATTTAAAAGTGTGAAACTCTTATGAAAAGCACACTTGAATGGACGGCTGGCGATTAAGCAATAATTAGCGACGCAAGTGGAAGGTTACCAGGTTATGAGTGTACAAACCCGAGTAAAGAAGCAGCCACTATTGGATAATCATTGCAGTCATTTTTGTTTTAGATGACATCTGATCGGTTGATATAGGAGACAGGCATCAGAAACAGTTTAAAACCACACTGTTGTCATCATCATCATCATCGTGTAGCAGGTCCTCTTCAGAACGTAGCTTTAATCGCCATCTGCTTGAAAGAAACTCGGTCTCTCGCTAGCTCTTCCGTCTCGAGTACTTTCAAACCAAGGAGTCACTTATATCCTGTTCCCATCTTCGTGCTGGTCGACCACTGCTCCTTTTACTTTGTCTCTCTCTGCCTCTTTGACTCTCTGTCTGTCTCTCTCTGTCTCTATGTCTCTCTCTCTTTGCCTCTTTGACTCTGTCTCTATTTGTCTCTATCTGTCTCTATCTGTCTCTATGTCTCTTTCTCTGCCTCTTTGACTCTCTGTCTGTCTCTGTCTGTCTCTATGTCTCCCTCTGTGTCTCTGACACTGTCTATCTCACTTTGTCTCTATGTCTTTCTCTCTGTCTCTTTGACTCTCTGTCTCTCTCTATATATCTATGTCTCTCTCTCTTTGCCTCTTTGACTCTGTCTCTATCTGTCTCTATCTGTCTCTATGTCTCTTTCACTGCCTCTTTGACTCTCTGTCTGTCTCTCTCTGTCGCTATGTCTCTCTCTCTGCCTCTTTGACTCTCTGTCTGTCTCTTTGTGTCTCTATGTCTCTCTCTGTTTCAAACACTGTCTATCTCACTCTGTATGTTTCTCATGTCTTCGTCTCTTTCTTTCTCCACTCGCCCCCACCTCACTTGCTCTCTTAAGAGTGCACCCGACAGATTTACATTTGCTAATCCCGGAGACCTCGTTTACTCGTATAGCAGGACAACACAATTATATTCGGGCACCACAAGGTGCGATTATGAAGAAACCGACTACAAACAAGAATAAAAACGACTTAGAAGTCACCTGAAGTCCTCTATGGTTGGGATATCAGAACCAAGTGTATATTCCAAGCGATATCGTCACTCCCTTCAGATATGTTGTAAAACACGTCCCTTTACATGCTAGTGGCGTATCGGGATTATGAAGTCAAACTCACATTCTGCATAGACCAATAATGATGTGTGCAACGTCATGCCGGCTGCCTTTACATTCCAGACTTAACTGATGCCATTTAAAGACTGGGTTGATCCTGGAAGCAAAGTCTTGTATGCGGATTTGAACCCACGAGCTTTGGATCCGCGAGTGAATGTCTAACAACTGCGCCCCTTAGGTACTGGAATATAAATAAACTAAAGAACCTATTTCGACGCCTTCATGCGTATTGGGTGTAAAGGGCAAAATCCATATTTATTAGATGATTCGGCAATTTTCATGTGATATGGTCGTATCATGACGACACCGCTTTACTTCCAAGGACGTGACCTGATATACATCCAAGGCTGGGTTGAACTGTGAGCCAAGGTCGTTTAAAAAAAGTTCAAGATCGTCTGGACCCGAGCGCACGAACTTCAGATCAACCGGCTAGCGTCTAGCCAGTACACCACGACGGCTCTCCACGAACTTCAGATCCGTAGGCGAGCGTCTAGGCAGTGCACCACGACGGCTCTCTTGTATGTTACAATAGGAAAAAACTCACAGGGAGCAAGTACAGCAGGGATCTACCAGTCGTCAGTAGAAATTATCCTCGTCGACACGCGTTTCGGCCCACGATTCCTAGACGCATTCGGAGGTGGGCCCTCCTGAGTTCATGAAGCTCAGGGCTGGTTCCCCGCTGTACGGAATTACCGGATGGTGTTATTCTTTCGGCCAGAGACAAGACGACTTGGTGGTTTCGCAGGAGGTACTGTGAGATAAGAAGTCGCCACGGCAGCCTAATTAAAGCAGTCAGCATGCCTGGACGACCGAGCGACAAGCTTACTTTGGTTTACCGGACACATGTTGGATTTTTATTAGCAGTTGGCAGAGGAACACTGGCAGACAATTCGGACACGATGGACTTTCAAAGGGGTGAGAAACCCTTTTCCACTAGACACTCGGACCAGCTCACCGAGGTCCGTCCCCTACGTTGTTGCGCTGCGTCCAAAGCCAGCTAGAGGCCCTTTCGGCTGCCTCTCCCAGTTTTTTGAGTGTTCGTTTCCGTTCATTACCGCGCAATCCTAGTTCTTTCACCACATTGTAGAGCGAAGTGGAAACGAGGCCTCTCGCTCTCACTTCGACGGCAAATACCCGTACTGTGTAAGCCTCGTTTCTCCTCAAACCGGCTGCTAAATCACTGTACTTCTCGAGCTTGTACAAATGATTCTCCTCCATACGCGACTCAAACGGGACAGTCAACTCAAATAATATACCAACTTACCTGTCGAACACTGCAAGAGCAC